GACAGCTTCTTAAAAAAGAAAAGCAGAATTACAGTAAAACATCCCTTCACCACTCGGGCTGATTGCATGCTGAACGTGTGCGTTCTGATGCGAGTAGCGCAACCTGTGTCGCCTCAACACTCGTCTGACATATCATCGGTCGAAGGGCGTGGACGTCCACGAGTCCGATAATGGGGCCCATGCTATGCCCTTTCTAATGAGTTTTTCATCTCGACAGTGTCCTTTTGTTACCCTTGTGGGCCAGTGGGTAATCCTAGTAGCGAAACGTAGGAACCATCTCTATCGTTTACTGTGCCCTCGAAACGTTTGATGAACGTTCCTTCGTTCGTGTGCCCACGGGACGAGAAATGTTGAATACGCTGGCCATTCTTCAGTCAAAATTGACCGACATCCACAGGACAAGAGTCCATATTTAGTTTGTTCTATATGTAAAAGATAAGCTATAATGTAAATGGGACACTCCAAACTTCTAGAAATAAAAGAGAATCTGCAATCTGCTGAAGTTCCCAAATCCTGCGGTGTTTTAGACCATTTTGGTGTATGAGGTTTTGAATAGTGAATAGCCGTAAAAAACACTATTTGAACGCTCGGCGCGAATACGAATGGAACGAAGGCGTTAAACGGTGGATCGAATCAAATTGGTTGTAGATATCAGTAAGTCCGGGTACTTCCGGAGTCACAGTTCTTACTTACTGTCAGGATGGGTCCCATTGCCGATGACGCTGACGTGATAGAAAGATGCTTTGACGAATGACTGCTTGGAAGCAACGTCAAAGATGTTCAGTTGTGCGTTATCAAGAAAACTCAGATAAGATGGCACCGGCGAACGTTATTGCGATAGTCACACAGAAAACACTGCTTGAACTGACGGTGGTTGTGCACCGTCAACTGGTACCCAAGCTTACCACTAGCACACAGACTTCTGGAGAAGCGCATCCACTTAGTAGGTACTTCGAGAAAAAATCGGAAAGGNCATCTTGGTGGGAAACATGTTGTCGTTGCCAAGACAATGTGTTGGAAGGGTTTGTGGATCTCAGCGAACTGATGGTTGCTTACCCGTCTTGTGTGCAGTAGACAAGCAGATGGTACGTCAGACTATTTTATCATCTGAGCACCCAGACGGCTTGGTTAATGCTTATTTCCCTAGCTGTGAGAAAAGTAAGAAAAACCTCTTTCTTCAAGCGATTAATTGTAGATGCTCTTACTTGAGATATGGCAGCTCCAGCTCCTACGAAAAGGCCATCATCATCTTTTCATCCATAAATGAAGTTAAAAGATAAAATGGTCTGCAATAAATGCTACAGCCTCATGTCAAGGACATATGGCAGAACAGCGGCTAGACATATGGCGAAGGAAACGAAAACAAAGTGCCATTAATGCGATCAATTTTGTTGTCTTAATTGTTTTTAAAATGTCCATATTTGTTGAGCTTGTGAATGTTTTCAGTTCCTTTAATTTTGTAATAGTGCTTTGATATGGAACATGATTCGTCTCTTGGTACCTGATATTTGCAAAAAAATTCCGTTTAGATGGATTGTAGGTCAACGCTAAATTTAGTGAATTGATCAAGAAATGAAAAATGTACGAAAATATTCGAGGTCTTCTTCATTTGGCTGACTTACAGTACTGTCGGTCGCCATTGACCGGCATCGTCCCACGAGACAGACTGGCTGGTTGTCCGTCAAAATTGACCGACAATGTCGCCAATGTCTTAAGAAAGGCAGCGCGACCGATTCGAGGCCTGTCGTCGGCTTGTACGCGCTTCGCGGTTCGATAAGTGGTCGTCGAGAAATGTCCAAACCACGAGCGATATGGGGAGGCGATTCAACAGGTGCGCGCAAGAGCTAAACTCTAGTCTTCATCATTTTTCGAAAATGGTCGAATGGAGAACAACGATTCAGATATGCGTGCTCTCGTGTGTAATGTGTATAACGAATGTGCTTCCAAAACATAACAAAAAACGCAGACTTTGAATTGACCTATTGAGACTGAGAAATTGTGCTCTTGCGTAAAGTTATAACCATATTTATAGTACACCCTGTAAAGTAACTCGAGATCGTGACACAGTGCTACGCTCAGGAAAGATGGTCTACCAGGGCAAATGGTTGCTGTGTTTCACCCGAAATGTCTTCGCGACTTGTGCGAATATGCCACTAGCACTACAGAATGAGCTTTCGAAAAAATTTATTGATGGTTTGTTGACGAGTTGTTATAAAACCGTCATACGGTGACCTTAAAAACAGCGTTGGCTTAACGAACAGATACCTTATTTCACGTGTAAAACAATCAGCGACTCCGAATAAATAAATAAGCATTGTTATTGGTAAGGGAAAGCATGCTGAACCCTTAATTCTTGCAAAACAAGCGCTTACAAGGCATATACGCGAAGGTCATCAAACGGGGTTATCGTTCTAGTAGATGTATTACGTTACGAATTGGCTGATTTGTCTCAGCGGAAAGAATACTTTGAATAAACTATCGTGATTTTGTCAGTACCTCATGATTTTCGCGTTCCTCTTTCAAATCAATGTGAGTGTATTGATACATAAGTTTTGATGTCTACGAATGTGATGTCCCAACACAGTCGAAGAAGCATACACGCCTGTAGATTCGATGTGTTGGCAACCCGAAAATGGAACTCCGTAATTTATCAGTTATCTGGAATCGATTTCAGCCTGCACCAGTTCTGATGATGACGTATTTGGATAATTGCACGAGCAATATCAAGTCGACACTGCATACTAATGGACTACCTATTGGAATCGATGCAAATGGGAAAGCAGTTAGTCTTCTTTTTGAAAATTTGCTATTTTCTAGTTCGCTGTAAAGAATTGTTCATATTACATGTGCCTCCCAAAACTTGTAGACTACTAGTCGAGACCAGGTGTCTTCTCAACATTTGCGGCAGGTATTCCCAGCCTTAGCTAATGCGAACTAGAAAACTTATTTAGATCCGTGACCGTAACTTGTTATTTCGATTTGTCTTACATGTTGAGGTTAGCACTGCACAACATGGCGGGAATCAGTTTTGTATTGTCACACTATCGGAGGTCTTTGAGACGAATTCATATCAGCCGTCGAGACAAGAGTACTCTCCTGGTAGGCCAATTTACTGTTTTCCAAGCCTTGGAGGTTTCAATGCTTGAACGTGGACGCTGTTGCAAGAACATGGGACACTGTAAAGGTGGAGGGTCACTATAATGAGATACACGTGAGTGAGCATCCACAAGCCACGTGAGGTGCCTCCTTTTAAAAATTTCGATTCTCGCCAAAAATTTCCGATTACCTTTATGGGTTCACCAAGCTCTACTCTCATTACTTCGAGAACAGTGCTTCGTAATCTCAATCACTGAATCAAAGGTTCTGCCACAATATCAAAAGGACTAGTCGGGTCGTTGCAGTTACACTTGTTGTTAAATGAAATTAATATATCAAATAGTCACAGTAAGATCGTGAATGACAGAGGCGTTAGGATTTGATTGGTGAGTGGTTGTTGCTCTCTGAGGCCTCTTATATGGTCAGTGCTCTCATCCTGCCTTGTCTACCCCTAGCAATTCTAGACTCTCCAAGTTCACGGGAACAGGATTTATGAGTTTCCACTCCAACATTTATTTCGCGCAAACCCCGCCCTCCGTGGCAGAGTCCGGTCTTCCTCTCCATCATTAGTGTTCTGATGCCGACGCCTATATTCTTACCAAAGATGAGCGCTCTAGGTTCAAATTGACAATTCTCGCGCAAACCCCTACCGTTTGGTTTGCTCTGGCCCTTCCACCCACATAAGTACCGTTCAAAAAGAAATCACCTTGGATCTTTTTTGCCACAACTCATCTCAAACTCGACGTTTTTGACTGTTTTTAATATGTTGTTAACAGTAATGATTTTATAGTTCCCCATCACAGACTTCACAAAACTCCTTTTTATTTCATTCAAATGGCCACTTTTCACATTTTTTCTGAACAGGACAGAATAGCACCACTTTCTGCAATTCAAAATTAATCACATGACTTGAACGATATCGTCTTGGGATCAAAATCTGATCATCTACTAGTCTAATTTTTTTGCAGTGAAGCCGCTGGCATCGATGACGGCTTGGCATCGGCGGGGCGTTGATCCGACCAACTTGTCGATCAGGCATTTATCAATTTTTTACCATTCTTCAAATTGGCTAAACCTGTGGGCAGCATTTGTGGCTGTTTTACCGGCTATCCTTTTCTTGAGTTCCTGCCACGAGGGTTCAATAATGTCTAGGTCAGGGGACTGACTGGGTCAGTCAAGGCATCGAACTTCCCGGTGGACCAGCCCCTTGTGCTCTCTTCTAGAACTTGTTTGGAGTTTTCATCTTGCTGAAAAGCGAGTTTTCTGCCTTGCACAAGACGAGCGAAAGGTAACATGCATTTCAGAAAATACCTACGCACATTTGCTGATCCATAGTGGTGGGAATATGGTGCAGGGACTCCATGCCTAGTCTCGGAAAACATCTCCAAGCTAATACTGGACCGACACCATGCCTCAGAATTGTCAATTGGAACTTAGGGTCGAAACTCGTATTTTAAAAGGTCGTCTTCAGAAAAAATCCCATCCCTCCAAAGCAAAATAATCTCTGACTAATCGCTCTCGACGACTTTGCGCCATTGGTCGAAGGTCCAGTCAAGGTGCATACGTCGAGTCGAGCATTGAAGTCGAGTTCGTCTGTTTTTTTGAGATCCTGATACTTTTTCACTAGTCTTCTTTAATATAATCCAGCGCTCCACAGGCGTCTGCTAATGGTGACTCTAGATAGTAGCGGAGTTGCTACGTCGATATTTCGGCCAATATGACAAAAGATGCTCGTCTGGGATCTTGGGTCGATGCACAAATGATCTTCCTATCGTCTCCAGGAGCGGCAATCCGGGGCATTCCCGGACTGCTTCGTTTATTTGAGCCCGTGAGAGGCTCAACACTTTTGATAGCCGTCGTAATCTTAGACATTGACTCAAAAAAACTGCCTTAGATGGTGAGCATGGGTCAATTTCTGCTTACTGCCCGTGGCAGGGGCGGAGAGCTGCTCCACGGACAGAGAGCAAGAGCCAGAACTCCGCACCTTCACTTAGAGCGATCAGCCAAAAGAAAAAAAGAGTCACCGACATATTAGACTCAAAAAGAACAGTAAAACCTAGCTAAAGGACAAGCCGCTCTCATAAATTATTTGAAAAAGTCACCCATTTGACTGGCTGTGGGCTGCCGTCGATTCTGCATCGCGAGAGAGTCGGTAATGTTTGAAAAGGGTGCTGTCGAAAAATCAGTCAGCGACATTGAGTTCGAGATGATTTATGGCGGTAAAGTTAAAGGCGATTTCTTTTCGAACGGTAATGTAAGTGTTCCATCCTGCCTCCTTCCCCTACCAAATTTGAACGCTCTAGCTTCAAATTGGCAATTTTCGCGCAAACTCGGCCCACTGGCCCTTCGTGGGCGGTGCCCGGCCCTGGCAAATGCGATAAGTGTTACAATCCTGCCCCAGTATTCCTACCAAATTTGAAACCTGTAGATCCACGTGGAGGGGTCCACTCAAACCCCTCCCATTGTGGGTGGAGCCCGGTCTTGTCACCTACCATAAGTATTCTTATACTGCCCCCAGTACTGCCGAATTTGAACGCTCTATGTCCACGGGAACAGGAGTAATGAATTTCCAGGCGGACAAACACATACACACACCACACACTACATGTACGCAAAACACACACACAAGTCACAGCACACACACGCTACACACCACACATACACCATGCACACACCACAGACATCACACTCACCACGTAACACCACACACAAACGCAGACATTAGCTCGTTATATACAGTGTGCGCCATAAATATGGTAACAACTTTTCGGACGTCCGTAATTCCCTTGTTTGAAGGTTTCTCCAAATCTGCAACTTCCCTTATGTTTATGATATATCCTAGCCCACATATCTACTTTGGTGCACTCATTTCGTCTGATTTTGAAAAACGGTGGAGCTCGCAGTCATCCACCAGCCGTTCCGTCTTTGCGCGCCTTTGGTGAGTCCTTTTCCGGAATCGCTCCTCGTTTCAACATTTCCCGCTTGACTGTCCCTTAAACCGCAATGCGTAGACAAGTCAACGATAAACCTCAAAGCGGTCGTCTTGTCTCTCGCACGACCTTTTTTCCAAATAGACTTGATTGAAAAGGAGTGAGCCGCGAAACCTGGAAACACGAGGAAAATGACTGCTGGTTTCTTTGTATGTACGAGGGTTGCCTTTCAAATTTCGGGATTGGGCAACCCTAGCCTTGCAGTTTGGCAACTGACACCTTGTATCGTAAAGTTTAACATTTTTGAGGTTATACGTACTCAGAAGGCTTTGACATATGAACGCTCTTTGTGTTGTTTACACTAAATTAAAATATTTACTTGAACCAGACCTTCCTTTTGGCGCCCCCACCCTCCACTGAGACCAAATCTCCTTTCCCCTTAACCTGCCCCTCCCCCTTTGGCGATGAAGCTCCATCAAAAATCAGTGCTTATCGATGGTATGGTGAATTCATCCAAGGTCGTAGTTCACTCCAAGACGAATTTCGTGGAGGTCTCCAAAATCAGTTGTTGTTTCGGAAAACAGTTATGCTATGCGCAAACTAATATTGCAAGATCGCCATGTGACCCATCGTGACATTGAGACAACCTTAGGCATTGGTGGGACTAGCATACATTCATTATTCCATGAACATTTGACTGTCAAAAAATTTTTTCACGTTGGATCCTACAATCGCTCAAAAATGGCTCGTCTCGATTGTTCAAAAGAACTGCTCAAAAAATACAATCACGGTGCTTCGAAACACATCCGTGACATAGCGTCAAATGATAGATCACGGATTCGAAATGAGCGAAATCCAACAAAAGCTGTCTGCGCACGAAGCACTTCCAAGCAAATAGTCGCCTGTTTGACATGTCGCCTGTTTGACACGTCGCAACCGTACCACTAGAACGACGTAGAACAGTCAACTCTGAGTGGTATACAACCATTTGTTTGCCAGTTGCCTTCCAAAAAATCAGGAAAAGCACTGCCGAAGACGGGCCACTCTTCACTACGACAATGCGAGCTCCCACACATCGGCTCGAAGAATTGCATTTTTGAGCACTCAAAATATCGATTTGATGAGTCGTCAGCCATACAATCTGAGGGTGACTCCTTCATATCCCGTACGAAAAAAGAAATTGAGAAGTCAACGTTTTTCGACACTTGAAGAAGCCGTTGATGCGCTCAGAATGCATGTTTTGGAGATACCTCAATCAGAGTGACAAAAGTGCTCCGACAAATAGTTCGAACTTATGCAAAAGTGTATAGATCTCAATGGGAAATATTTTGAAAAACAATCAAGCAATTTTCAATGACTAATATTTATTTTTGTTCTATTACTGAGTTGTTTTCTTTTACTCCATGAGGTTTGTGTACAAGCTTTATTAGGCTGACGTATCGGCGGAGTCGCCTTCTTCAGGCCTAGAAACATCATAACTATTCATGACTATCCGACCAAAGGTCTCCACTGCCTCACTGAACTTCGAGACCTCAGGGCACGCAGGTGATTGAAGGAGAACCACTCACCGTAGCTTTGTGTATTCTTCGAAACCAACCAGCATTCGATGATAGTAATCGACCACTCTCAGCTGGGTAGGTCTTCATTCAGAGTCTCTGTGGGAAGGCCAACTTTATATAAAGCTGCAGTTCCCGCGTGATTGCGAGGCATTCTTTCCTACGATTCATTTTTGGATCGGTGACTTGTATCCAAAATG